CGGAGCCGAACTGGGGAGCTGCGCTGAGCCGCCCTAATTGCACGCGTTAAATAATCAAAAGAGGTAGGGAGACAGCGTGCTTGGGCTCCTCTCTGTGTGTTAATTAGGGTTAATTGGGGCTAATGCTTCGTACGCTCTGGCGCGCTGGAGGAAAAATCAAAACTTGCCATGATGGTTGTCACCCCCGAGGAAGCTCGTTGGGGAGTTTGAGAGGCGCAGCCGTCCTCTGGCTGGAGTTGCAGGCTGGCTCACCCTTCAGTGCCCGCGTCAATCACGCGTGCAGCAATCGCTGTTTACCAAGAGAGCCCTGTTCCCCGATAATTAATTAGCGGGCTGCTCAATAGCTGTTGTGTAATGCCCCCCCTGATATTTCACCGGAGTTTCCGAACTTTGGGGCTGCCGTGCCTCCGTCCCCCGTAGCTGCTCTGAAGTCCTGTCAGCCTGTTGACCTCAGGTTACCACGTATGTAGGAAATAAAGGTGTATATATATTTCTAGGAGCTAGCGGTGGGAGACAGGTGAGCTGAGCCCAAACCCGGGATGGAGGAGGGAGCGTCAGCGTTATAAATGCGTGGTGAGAAGGTGAATCAGAGCTTCTCTTGGGTGTTTTTTAGGGGGATTTAAAGAAGTATGAAGATGTGAAGGGCAGTTGCTCTGCCTCAAACCTTTCTCCAGCGCACCCTGAAGCAGCAGTTCCAGCTCTGGCGTGGCCAGACTGAGGGTTTGGGCTGGATTCGTGTTGCTCGGTCTGTGAGAGAAGGTGTTTCTGTGGAGCAGAGGAGACCTCGATCCCTGTTACCGCAGGGCCAGCCTCGGGAATTGGAAGAGATTATTTTCATATGTGACTGGGCAAATCTTGCAGCAGGGTCCTGCTGGGAGAGGCCAGGCAGAGCAGGGCTGGGGGCAGCGGGATGGGGAGGGACGGATGGGGTTGGGAAGTTCTCTGGTCCATCTGCTGTTTGCTCAGGGCTTTTTACTTATTAAAAAGAAAGCTAATAAAAATTAGGAGACGATATATCAGCTCGGGCAACCTCAGCTGTTGTTAATATCCCTTGGTACTTGCCAGCTTGCGAAAGTGGTAAACTTCCTGCTGGGTTCCCCGTTCAAAGGGCAGCTGGGGAAAACCAGCACTGCAGCAGTGGCACGGCCTTTGCCACGCTGGGAGCAGAGCTTTCCCTGCGGCTCCGCTCCGACCCGTCTGCACGGGGCTTAGCGGCTTTTCTCCGCAGCTTCATCGTGAACGCTGTGGCGTGGCCGCACTGAGCTTTGCACCGTATCCTCTTCATGAGACCGGCGCCGTGTTAGGGCTCCTGCGAACAGGATGGTGGCTCAGACCTCTTTAAAATGCCTTTTCCTTGCTTGTTGCGTAGGTGTTGAGCTGCTTCGCTGAACTCCAGGGTTGGGCTCAGGTAGCCCCGCTCCCTGGGACAGCCTTGCATGATGCCCCGGACCGGTGGAGACCCAGAGCTTTGCCCTGCAGTGCAGATGGAGACAGTCCTAAGGGCAGGGAATTTAAACAGGTTTTAAACATTTAGACCAAGCTTCACTTTTTCCATGAGCATAGGGAACATCGTTACCTGTGGTGCTCACCTGTGCAGATTCTCTGGTGGCTAATAAGGTGGTTGGGCTCAAGCCAATGCCTTTCCCTTGGGAACTGTGTGTGATGGGGACTGGTGGTTTTCCTGGCCCTGCCTGCTGGCTAGCACAGAGCTCAAGGAGCTTCGTAACTGCCTGGCAGAGAGCGAACAGATTTGTCAGCGATGAGCACCTGCAGGCTGTTTTGCTGTGGCACCCTTAAGGATGGAGAACTGTGAAGCCTCTGGCACTGGGGGTTCCTGGGCACAGGGTGCAGCGTTCGCCCATGGAAATGGGCTGCCAGAAGAGCTGCCTGGCATCACCAGAGCTGTTTTCCTCTTCATCATCCCTCTTCTCAAGGGTGGCCGTGAAGGAATGCAGGGACAGATGTTGGGGTGTCCTTCGTTAGTCTTCTGGTGCTTCACTGCTGGCTGTGTAACCCCATGTGTCTCTGCCAGAGCATTTTCAGTGCTTGGCCAGACTTTCTAGGACCCGGTTACACCTCTGTGTTTTATCCTTTCCCATACAGAGCAGCACTCCTTGCTCATCTCCAGTCCCATTTTCCTTTTCTGGCTGATTGTGGGCTAGATTTGGATAGTGAGTGGGCAGAGGACTTTTCTTTAAAGGATATCTGAGGAAACTCACCTTTTTTTTTTTGTTTTTAAATCAGAGGCAGTCTCAGAGGAAAACTATATCATTTTTTTCCTTCCTGATGAGTGACTGAGTATGTCAAAGCACCGGTGACAGTGTGTTTTGCCCAGCTTGTCTGGACAAGTTTGGTGATGAGTTGTCCCCAGCCTCTCTGAGAAGCAGGGTATAGCCTTCCTGATGCTCATGTTACAAAACAGCGTGATTGAGGTTTTCCAGAGAAATGCTATGATTTTCCACCCGTGCTTAAAGACCCCTTGGTAACGCTGTGCAATGAAAATTCAACAGGCAGCTCACCGCATTTCGTTTAATACTCATTTCCTCTCTTGTCACACATGCGAGCAGTCCTGCCAGATGAGATTCCAGAGCGGTGTGAGAGGGGAGAGCTTAAATTGCTGCTAAATACTGGCAGATCCTGTTATCCAAAGCTGCTTTATGAAGCAAGGATGCCTGCAGAGATGGAGTTCGTGGTTAGACAAATTACATCAAAACAATATGAGCTGAGTGTTAGGGGATGCATTCTAACCAAATAGAAAGTGGGAGTCTGAAGGGTTTTTCTTTGAGCTAGAAAATCTGCATTAAAAAGCAAAGGAGACAAGGTGCCATCCCAGACTCATTAAAGTCATCAGCTAAGCTCTTACTGCTGTGGCTGCAGCTTGTGAAATGACTGCAGCTGATGGAGACAGGTCCCCATATGAGCTTAGGACAAGCAGGAGCTGCTCTCATGGACCCTACTCCTGCAGACTGAGGGCTGGTCCCAGAGCCTAAGTTTGGCATCAGATGTTGCTTTAGCTTGGAAATGCCCATTTGAAAGGATCAGAAATCAGAATATTGGAAGAAAACAAATTTTGAAACCCTACTGTTTTATAAGTGCTGTTCCCTAAAACCACCCTATGTACTATGTTTGTCCAGTTGCTGTCATTGACTTTCACATGTGCTTTTCTTTTTCTGCAATATTAGTAAGTAAACCAATGGATTCAGGCTCTGAGCAGTCAGAAGAAACTTAGAAGAAGCTAACAGAAATAAATTCAAATAAACAAATCTTTCTGAACCTTCTCGCTTTCCATTCTTGCTGTTTGTTAGTGTGCTCATTGCAAAGGGCTGCCCTGTCCCTGGCAGGCAGAGCAGCTGATCTAACTCCTCTGAGCAACTCAAGGTAGTGCTTGCCATGGTGAGGACCTGGTGTGAGCAGGTGGAGCATGGCCAGGGAGAGATCTGCTGCGTGGGAGGAGTATGGCATGAGGAAGAAGAGAAGAAGAAAGGACAGACAGAGCAGAGTGGGTAGAAAAGTCTAACCAGACCTTCAAGGCTCTGATGGCTTGTAGGTCTGTGCCCTTGCTGTCCCATTCCCTGCCAGTGGTGAGAGCAAGGCTGTAGTATCTAGCTGAGCTCTCTCAGCCAGGCTGCCTGTTCAGGTGTCCATCTGAGGATCACTCCACGCTTCAGCTGGAGAGCATCATGCCTGGTGGCCAGCTGCGATGGCCATGTCTTCTCCAGCCATTGCCTTGTGGACTTGCTGGAGCTTGCTCTTGCTGTCGTGTAGCCCTGTCTTGGGCACCTGATTGTTTCACTGTTGTTGCAGCTGCACTAAATTCAACACTGGGTTGGAAAGAGCCTATTGGGCAGGTACAGCTTGTTTAAACTCTCCTTTGCCTCTTCCAGCCCCAAACCACCACCTCCTGAGGGTGTGAAGTCCAACCCCTCCAAGCGGCATAGAGACAGACTCAACCAGGAGCTGAACACGCTGACTGGCTTGCTGCCCTTCCCCGAAGATGTGCGTGCCAGGCTTGACAAACTCTCCATCCTCCGACTGGCTGTCGGATACCTGAAGGTGAAGAGCTACTTGACGGGTGAGTGTCCACATTATGAGAGGTAAAAAAGCCGCTGGGGTCAATCCCCACTGCGCAGCTCCATCCCACCCTAAGCCATGTTTGCTTTGGGGTGGAAAATTGTGTCTTCTGAAGGTAGGATGATGATGAGCGGTGGTGTCAGACCCTTGTATGTTAATGCATCAGCATTGCACCTTTAGCTGAGGTACTGGCCTGAAGATGCCCTGGAAAACTAGGGAGGAAAGTGCCATGTCTCCAGACATGTGGAGGAGTTGGCAATGGAGGTGCTGTGCTCATGGGACACCTGCACATCAAGCCTTCGTTTGCTGCCATGACACACGTTTTATCCATGTCCCCTCTGGAAGGAATCACCTTCACTTCTGGGTGCTGCGCACCCAGATCTAACCCTCTTCAGTCAGTTATGGGTGCTTGGTCACTTGGAAAAGCAAGATCCTTGAGGAAGTGAGATCATCCAGTTGGGTTTTGGAAGCCAAGTTTCAGGGGTGGCAAGTGATTCGGGAGCGGTTGTGGGGGTATTGAGAGCACAGGACCCTGGCCCCGTTGCTTTCAGAGGGGGTGTCTGGCAGAGAAACTGCACCATGGGTGTAGGGGAGCAGCTTGGGTGCGTGCTCAGCGGCTGAGACTTCCTGCAAAGTTTCTCCATCTACTTGTCATTAGCAGCTGAACTACCCCTCCTTTACCTCCAAAAACCCTCCTGTGTCCTGCTCCCAGCAGCCCGTGGTGAAGAAGGGAGCAACAGGTAAATAAGGTGTGTTTTGCTGAACAGCAACATTTCCCTCCTCTACCTGGAACTGTAGTTTATAATTAAACTGAAAACCCCTGGGGTCTGTGGGCTGCCGTGTCTCTCCTGGGCAGGCAGGTGTAGGAGGTGTTGCACAGGGCTGCTCTGTTCATTGAGGATGGCAGACAAGGCTGCTTCTAAGGCCCTTGTTTGATTTGGCACCTCATTAACTCATTTTTCTCTGCTTTCTTCCTTGGGGGGGTCTCATATGTTGGTGGTTGGCTGCTGTGTTTGCCACCCTGGCCCTGCTGGGCTCAGCTGTGGTGGCTCTATTATACTTATCTAATGAGCATTTCTGTGAGATTGAGGGCGATGTCTCATACCCAGAGACCCCAGTTCGTTTTTGTGGGATGGAAGGTTGAGCTGATGCGCCTGGAAAACCAATCTCCTCACGGTTGCCTCTCTGCAGCCCTGCTGCTGTGGAGACCCTGGCACAGGGCAGCAACCATTCCAGGAGAGCGATTATGGCTGGACATTGCTGCTATTTTGCTTCCGCTCTTGGCACCAGGGGCTTTCTGCTATGCTTTTCCCTGATGTGCACGTAGCTCCCTTCCTGCTCACAGGTCACCGCAGCGATTGCCCTCTGGATCTTCAGCGATCGTTGATGTATCTGAGATAGTTACTGCTTGTGAAAATGCTTGTGCTGGGGGCTCCAGGGTTTTTCTGCAGACCTGGAGTTCGAGGAGCAGGGGTCCCTCGTACGCATTACACATCACCTGATGTGGTGCTGCCTTTAGGAGCAAGAAAAGTACTGCAAAGAGGAGGCCAGCTGAGCTACCCTGGGTGCACAGACCTGCCCGACCACCCTTGTGCCCCAGCCACAGTCCAGGGAAGTTTTGTGCTGATGTGCTCATGCCATACCCTACTGAAGAGGCTCTCCCAGGCCCAGGAGTTGCGGACAGTTCAGCTCCTGCTCCTGAAGCTGTAGCTCACACGTGGGGCTGCAATGGTGGGATCTCTCTGGTTTCTCAAGTGGGAACCAGAGCAGCTCACTCCTGTTCCCCCAACTCCCATCCATGGGGCAGTGATGGAGCATCACAACAGTGTGTTACCTCTGCAAAGGACTTGAGGGTGGCTGGGAGGTCACCCAGTGTGGCTATGAGTGTGGTGAGCCCTTGTCCTTGCCCTAGAGATGCTAGGTGCTGGCCTGACCTGTCTCGTGTTAGCTGTTCCTGAGCACCTCTGGCATATCTTCTGAAGGGCTGCCAGCAGCTGAAGGCTTTGCTGAGCCTGTGATGGTACTGGTTGGGTCAGAAAGGCTGTGACCCAGGAGGTCCTTCATGGGAGGAGGACCTGAAAGGACATGATGGGGGCTGGAAGAGGCACCTTGCTGTGGAGGGAAAGTGTCTTGTGCTGGCTGTCTTTGCTCAAGAGGGGTGATTGCTGCATGCGCAGCTTTGGATGCTGTTGGGCTCCTCAAAGGCAAGGTTGGGCTGAGTGTGAGCTTTGCTGTGTGTATTTTCCTGCATTGTCTGCTTTTCTGGGGGACAAACCTGGGAAACAGGATTCACTCCCTGCCTTCCTATGAGTAGAGTTGGCAGCCTAATGCCACAATGGCAAGGTGTGATGATATGGTGATGTCAGGTGCTTCTGTCCAAGGCAGTGCTGTGGTATAACATGAACCTGCTTTCTCCATTGATGTGCAAAGACAGGCAGCAATTGGGCTGATAGGGCCAGACTCTGTGGCACCAGAGTGGGTGGCATGGAGCGGGGTCAGGATGTACGGACAAGCATGTGCTTCATCTCCAGTGCCTTGTGCTTGATGGAGTGGGCGATGGACCCTGATGAAGGCAGAGCATGTGGAGGGCAGGAAGCCGTCAGCATCTTTCTATATTTAGAGGTTCTTATTGTGTCTTCTCTCCCCCAGATGGAATAAACTTGGCTCCCTTAGCTTTTGCCCCATGCCCAGTCCCTTGGGGCTCTCCCAGGGCCCTCTCCAGCTGGGGATGCTAGTCCCCAGGAGGAGACCCCTATGCCAAGCACTCCAGCTGGGACCCCTGCCTCCAAGCAGGACTGCTTCCCACTGGATGCACTCAGCATGTGCTTCCCAGCGTGACAGCTGCTTTGGAAAAGCAATCACCATAGAATGGATTCATGTTCGGTGGCAGCCTTGCCCCTCCTTGGAGACCCGTTCTGCCAGGCCAATTATTCCCATTTGGCCACTGTGCCTGTGATTTCCAACTCCCTCCCCGTGCTTTGCCTGTCTCTGCCCTGAAGTTCATCTTGTTTGACTTCAGATCATCCCACCGATTCATCAAGGTCGACCTTGGTTCGAGCCCTGCCTGATGAAGACCCATGTTATCTAGAAGTCACGGCAGCCTGCTCATGGTGTATCACATCAGGCATTTCAGGGGGAGGTGACAAAAGCCCTTGTGCCATGCTTTCTGGTTCAGTTTTGCTGTTGTCTGCTTTCTGCTTCGTGCAGGCTCCTCTCCTCCAGAAGGAGAGCGTGGCATTGCCTGGCAAGCATCCCTGTCCTCTGCCTCGACCTCTCTCCATTAGCAGCCCAAGCCTGTTGCCTTGTCACCTGGCAGCTTTAATTGGTGCCATATTGATAGAGTTCCTCTTTCCAAGCATTTCTGTTGAGTCCCTTTCTCCTAGGCAGAGGGTTAACAGAGTCTATGTAGAAGCAAAGTACGTTGTTATAACTAGTCTGGCAGTGAGGCAGATGCCAGTGAGTGACCCTGGTTGTACGCCTGCCCAGGGAAGTAAAAATCCCATGTGCTGCCAGTGATGGTTCTTGCAGGAAAAGCAGCAGGTGCCAAAAAGCCTGTCCGAGGCTCTGCCTCCTCTTGGCTTCGTGTCGTTGGAGCAGACATTCAAGTCTTTGGGGCAGGAGACAGACCAATCGTTTGTGCAAGGCAGGAGGAATTAGCTGCTGCCCACCGGTGGTGTCCTTCTGCTAGCTCTCCCTCCCTGATTCATCAGGTGTCCCGTACAGCCTGCCTGTGGCAGTGCTTCTGGGAGTAGAGACGAACCTTGGCTTTTTGTTGCTGGTGGTGGGTTTCTTGGCTGCTTTTTTTTTCAGTTCAGACGTTTGGGGAGAGATTGATGAGAGATGAGAGATGGATGATGCTTCTTCTGAACCTCTGTTCCTCCGCAACGCGTCCGAATCAGTCAGTGTTTCTTCCTGCTGCCCTTGAATTGGCTTTTGCTGGTTTGGAAACTATCTCAGCAAGACCCTGCAGAGGTGACAGGTCTTCACCTGGTTTGTTCTTGGGGGCAGAAGGATCCACACACCTTCCTCTCCAGATGGAGAGGGTTAAACTGTCCTGCAGAGCATGCAACGCCCACTTGAGTTATCAGTGAAACTTCACTGGTGTTTAGCTGGCCTAGGTTGAGTTGGACAGGATTTGTGCTGGTGTCCAGAAGCTCACTTTGGCTGTGCCAGGTTTTTGTGTGGGCTGAGCTTGTCTGACTGCAGCCCTTGGTCAGAGCTGTGGAATTACCCCATTCTGACCTGCTGCAAGGCCACCTGAAGCAGAAAAACCAGCATACAGGCTTCCCTGAACAGCTTCAGAGACCTTCGCAGGTCCAGTATGGAGGTTTTGCTGGTAACTTCCCAGGAGCTCCAGGTTTTCCTGGAGTCCTCTCCTCTGATGCCAGTGGACAGGGCTGCAGTAACCAGCAGGCTCAAAAATGCGTGTGGCACCTATGGCGGTGGTCAATATAAATCATCTGCCACGCAGATGCCATGGACAAGCAGCAGCTGGTGGAGAAGGATCTGTTTTAGAAATGTTTTATAAGACCTCCTCTAAGCAGGACAGAAATGGTATAACTTCTGTGGATGGACTGAAAGCTCAGCAGGGATCGATAGTGTTTTCTGACAAGCTCTGCAGCTCTTCTGATCTTTTTCTCACCTTGTACGGCTTTTGGGGTTGATTACTCTTCGTGGAAAAAATGACCAGTTCCTGGTGTCTCAACCAGTTTGCATCTCAGACCGAGTGAGGCTCTTGCTTTGCATGTTGGATTCGGAGCTGGGTTTGCACGGATTTTTGTGCATACTGTAAATGTTTGCACAACAACTTTGTAAGGTTGCTTCATCTGCTGGACAAAGCAAACAGGATTTGTGATAGATTCTTGCCAAAATCTCAATGACCCAGAGGGGACTTTTGCAGCACGATGCAACTGAATCTGTTGTCTTTCAGGAATCCACGCTCTGGGCTGGCTGTCTTGTGGCCTCTAAATCTGTCTTTCTGCAGGCTCGGGTTTATACCCA